CCTCCTCTCTCTCTCTCTCTCTCTCTCTCTCTCCGCGAGCTCCTCGTCCGATCGGGTGAGATGTTATCGACGGAGAGGGAGTGGGGGGGGCTGTCATCCTTCGAAGAGGAGCGCGATCCTCTCCTCGCCAACGGGAGAGACACGGGACTCACAATGCGCGGCGATCGTCATCGAGCAGCCAGCCGCTCGAGACAATGAGCTCGCGCTTCTCCACTCCCCTCCCTCCCTCCCCCCCTCTTTCTCGCGACACTCCCTTTCCGAGCGATCAACCGTTTTCCGCGACCGTTTCGAAACACCTGTCGCTCTCGGATCGTTCGCGCGAACGCCAACCTCCTTCCAACCGACCGAGAATATCTCCTTTGCGCTCTCGTCGCCATTCTATCTTTTATTTACATTAGCAAATATACGTATATAATGTAATTACATTCTCTCGTTACTTGATCGGTAACCTTATTATAATATACGAGTGCATAGGATAGAATCGTAATACTTGTATGCCACCGTTCTACATTTTATTATTATACGTATATTTACATTAGTAAATACATATATCTAGGTATGGTAACCTTCTTAAATATAAATAAACGAGTAGTATAGCAAGGTTAAATCGTAATACGAACCTCTCCGCTTTTTCTCGAAAATTCCTTCGTACGTCGCCAACCTACGTTTTATTATTGCACATATATTCATATTAGTAAATATATATATATATATATCTATATAGATTGGTAATCTTCTCTAAACACAAATACGAGTGCGAAGGGTTAAATCGTAATACGAATCTCTCCGCTTTTTCTCGAAGGGATTCGCGATCGTCGAACTGTTTTTCGGTCGCATGGATCTCGCGATAGGAGGGGAGGGGGGGAAAAGAGGTAGGGCAGATCCTCGGGGTGGTTGGATGGAAGTGGGTGGCCGAGAAGCACACGCGCTTGGGTAGAGGGGGGAACCTTCTCGGTTGTAGATACACAGGGACAATTTATTTTCGTGCTGTATACGGCTTAGAGCTCGCTTCACCTTATGCTAATGTCCGCTCCGCTAGCTTTCCCCTAAGCGTGCCCCTCGTGCGCCCTATTCTTCTCCTCCTCTCCCTCCCCCCCTCCTCTCTCTCTCCTTACCCTCCTCCGCGTGTAACAGGATTTTTTGCTTCTTCTTTTTTTGACGCGAAAAAGATCTATTATGTATCCGGAGAAAAGAAGAAATTCTCGAATATCTCGTCAATCGACTTCTCGCTTCATCTCGCTTTTTAGACGCTCGCTCGCGTCTAATTGTTCGGATAAAATGGTGGAACGAGGGCACGGCGCACGGAGCGTGTCCAAGCATCAAACGGGCTAGAGATGGAGCGTGTTGCGCGCAGGTTCGGCTTTCTCCCGTGCATATATACTCGGTGACGCTCGGACGCGTCTGACTGGACAAAATTCGTTTTCGAACGTGTAGTAAGGGATCGTGATCGTTTCGATTTGAAATTTTAAATCCTTTTTTTCTTTTTTTTAGAGAAATATTGAGAGTGAATTTATCAGAGAAGCATCTATTTTAGTTCGAATCGTTATAATTTTTTCGCTCGTATGCGAACGATTCGTCGATGATTTTTTTACACATCGTTCCGCATCGTTCCACGCGATAAGAGTCGAATGTACGAAAAGTAGAAACTTTTTACTTTTTTTTTTTTACCTCCATATTCGATTCGCAAAAACTGTATTGGAATTAATTTGCTCGCCATCGGGCGGATTCTTTAATATCAACTACTGATATTTATGGATTATAATATTCCTAATTTTTTAATTGGCAATTTTTCTATTCTATTTTTATAATTTTATAATTTTCAGTTTTATCATTTCTATCCTTATTTTACCCGCCAATGAATTATCACCGTTTAGGCCTAATATCTATTATAGGATAAGATCTTCGAGGATATCCCTTCCAAGGGATCCAGTTTATCGTTCATCGTCGAATTCGAAACGCTCTCCAAGCTACATCCGCAGATATATCGCGCGTGGTTACTCATGGATTCAAATCACAAATATCGATTATTACGTATTTTCTTTTCCCATTCCACATATTAACCGAACGCAACGTTAATTTTTCTTTATATATATTTATTTCTCCTAACCTATATACTTTTACATTACATGCTTTTAACGAAACGACAAATTACCGGTAAGAACCGGTTCTATTGTTTTCTCAGAAATTAAATCTCAAAAGCGAGGGGAAAAGAAATAATTTCGTTTTCCTCGGTCTGCCGCCCCATCGACCGAGACGATATCGTAATTACCGTTAGAATTGTCCGATATTTCGGCCGGTGATCACGCGAGGCCACCCCATAGAGTGTTGCAAATCCACGCCGCGGATGTATTTATGCGGCAAGGCATTACGACGGTGAGTTATATATACATATATATATACACGTGTACCTCGATGGGAAACACTCCCACGATTATGCGGCATGCGATGCAATTCCCTTTGCCTCGGCGGAGGGAGAGCGAGCAACCCACTCGCATGCTTTTCGCCCGACGACTACCTTGCTCCCTATTAACCAAGTAATTGACCATGCGTATATAACTCTTCTCTTTCCTCCTTCCCTTCAACTCAACCACGCGCGGAGAAATCGACGCGGAAAGCGCTTGGACATATTCAGCTTTTCCATCCGTCTAATGGATATCGTTGTAGTTTTTAAGTTTGCGATATATTTCTCTCTATTTGTATATATATATATATTTTCAATTACTCGAACGTAAAAGCAAGCCGATGCTACGAAGAAAAGAAGGAGAAAAAGTCGTCCATCTCGATCTGGTCGTCGTCGAGAAATTTCGCGCGTAGAAAGAGTAGTAGTAGCTACTCTAAAGAGCATCCGCGAAACGGGGACACGGCGCGACGAGGAGAAAGTATTGAGAAGTAATCGTGGCTCGACGTAACTCGACGTACGCCGCCGAGTTGTTCTATGCTGCTGCTCTATCGGTAACCGGATTTCGAGTCAGCGGGCCTAATTCCTCGATCGATAATTGAGGAGGCTGGGAAAACGTGGAATCGAGACGAGCGTTAAGGCTAGGAATGTAGGTAACCCGTTACGAGGAAGAAGAGCGAAGAGGAGGAGGGGAAAGAGTGGGTGAGGGGAAGGGAGAAGGTTAACCCAAATCCAAAAGGGAGATTATTCTCCGCCGGACGCGTCGCGTGTCGCGTTGGCGAAGCGAGTTGGCGAACGTTTAATACGCCGCCGCGTATTATTGACGCGTTTATCGGTGTCGTTATTAACGCCGTCTGTCGTTCGCGCTCACCTGTTAACCTCGGATAATTTATCGACGCGCTCGAACAGGGAGGGAAAGAGAGAGAGACAGAGAGAGAAAGAGAGAGAG